GAGGCAGCCCTTAGCCACTGGGGCCAGAGCTGCATGGCTGGTCCTGGGAGGCCTGGTGATCTGAAGCCAGCTGTTCACACAGGCTCTGGGGGCTGGAGCTTTTGGCAGACAGTAACATTTTATTTGCATAATGAATATGAAAATAAAATGCTACCAGTTCACGGAAAATTTGTGAATGGGTGAACGGGTCGACAGTGCAAAAAAGGTTGGGAACCATTGTTCTGTGTGATATAGGGTGTCTTAACTTACCCCAACTTGCTGTAGGTTAACTTTGGTCTGGAGTTCATCTCTCTGGAGTCTCAGTTCCTGGACTCTTGCTCGGAGCCTGGCCAACTTCTCCTGTTGCTGCTGAGTTTCTTCTTGCTTCAGTGCTAGTGTCCGTGCATGAGCTTCCAGCTTTTCCAGATGGGACAGGACCCCTCCAGGAAAAAGACCCCTCCAGTTAAACCCAGTCTGCAATTATTTGCATCTAACCTGGGCAGGATTTTAAAATTAATTATTAGCTGACACACTGAAATCAACAAAAAAAAAATATAAATCTGTAACAGCTAGAGGGAGTGCTGCCTTCTCACGGTGTGTGCGCAAGGATTGGGCGTCACCAGCCCAGCGGCTATGCAGGGAGCTGTGTGGAACTGCTGTCACAGCCCAGTTCCTTCACCCGTGGGACAGCTGGGCTGCAGAGAGCTCCCCGCATGTCCTCGGGGTTAGTGACACTCAATTTTTTCAGGGTCAAGGTGCAGAGAAGGCTGTGGTCCAGAGCCCCCTACCTAGGACACAATGATAAGGCAAAGTGCTGTATGAGGGAGGACACACTGCTGTTGAATGGTTCCAACCCCAGACAGGAGCCATTCAGCAGCAGGATGATCTCCCCCATGGCCCTGGCCAGGACTCTCTGCTCTGCTAGGATCAGTCTTCCTTGAGCTTTCGTGTCTTGGCCCTCCCTTGGCAGCCTCCCGGACAGCGCTGCCCTAACCCTACACCTCCCCTTTACTTGCCAGCAAACATTTAAAAAGCAAGTCGTGCTAATTGAGGGTACAATCTTAAAAATAAAAATCTGTAGTCAAAATAGGGAAACAAAAACTGAATTCTGCTATGCCTACTTTTATTGCAGTAGCACCAATCATACAGTATAGATACATGAAGAGAGACCCTAACCATCACAAATTTACAAAGGGTAGGGGAAAGAGAAACAACATAAGGTTATGAGGCTTTTTTGTCTTATTGTACATATGACTGGGTCCTAAATGCCCCTTGATATAACCATTGCTAGCTCACTAATTTCTTGAGGCAGCGAAGGCTAGAGGCTAGCACACTGAATTGGACCTGAAGAAACACAAGATTCCAGATTTACTGGGTAACTTTGGGCAAGTCACTTCACACCTCTCTTTTTTTCCTACCTATAAAATAGAAATAATGATCTTTTCCTCCTTTGCAAAGTAGTTGGACATCCGCTACACAAAAGCCAGGCATTGATATTATGGCAGAAATGGATCTTAAGAAGTGATTTTGAATGAGGAGAATATCACATTCACCACACTGGAGGACACCTCACATTTAATACCCTTTGTTTCTGCAGGCCATTGTTACATAGTTCTCTGACAACTTACCATCTCTCAGGTAAGCTGTTGCCTCTTCCATTGTGAAGTTTAGTTTTTAAGCAATGCCGAGAGTGTATGGTGTGGAACAGAGGACTTGGACTAGCGTGGTACTTTCCCCATGGAATTACACTGCAAAGGCACTAGGAACGTCACAAGATTGTCTGTTCTGAAAACGAAAGATCATTCTTTTACACTCCAGGGTAATGTACTGAAGGGATTAGATGGTACAATGATTCCAGTAGGGATGTAATAGTGTATTCAGTTAAATGATTAATCAATAGGCAGATGCCCACCCCCTACCCCGTTGTGGCTCTGAGAGTAAAGATTTAAGCAGTGAAAGCACTGTCCCAGCTTATGCTGGGTCCCAGCATCAGCCCCTGCTGCGGGTCTACATTATTAAGAGAACGGGATGCAGGCAAGTTGGCTCAGTCCTGGCATCAACCCACAGTGGAGGTTGATGATGGGTCCCAGCGTGATCCAGGATTGAGCCAACCTGCCTGCACGGCGGCTTCCCAGTCGCCTAATAATGCAGAGCCGCAGTGAGGTTGATGCTTGGACCCGGCACAAGCCAGGACTGAGCCAACCTGCCTGCACACTGGCTATATGGTACTTTTAATGCAGAGCTGCAGCCGGGGGTAGCTTCAGGGACCAGGCGCAAGCCAAGACTGAGTTAGCCTACCTGCCCGCTGGCTCCTTAGGTACTTTCAGTGCAGAGCTGCTTATCAGGTAAATGTATAACTGACAAAATATATGCCTGCCACACAGTTACCTAATTACATGTCATTTAGCATCCCTAGTTTCCAGCCTGTGAAAATCCCTGCACTGGGGGCTTTTCTCTTGCTGCAGAGCATGGGCTATGGAGCGGATTGCAAGACATTAGTAGGAGCACAGACACTATCTCTCCAGTCTGGTTTGGGACCATGCATATAGAATAAAACAATTCTGATCTATTTTCGCAAAGTGACTCATCGACTCTTCCTGCGCCTGAGACAGAGAAGTAGGATGGGTGGGGCCCATATGCTGAGAAGCCACTTTCACAAAGATGCGTTGGAGGAAAATGCTTTAGAGTAGGGATGCTCAGGACTAATCGAATAGTGATAGAAATGTAGCCGTGTTAGTCTGGGGTAGTTGATCTGAGGAAGTGGGTCTGGCCCACGAAAGCTCATCATCTAATAAACCATCTTGTTAGTCTTTAAAGTGCTACATTGTCCTGCATTTTGCAGGACTAATCGACTATCTGATAAGCAAATACTTCTCAGATAGCGATCGACAGGGCTCGACAATCTAGGGAATCTACTCGCCCCCGGCCAGCAGATTACATCCCAGAAGAGCCAGGTTCAGGGGGAGGGATAACTCAGTGGTTTGAGCATGGGCCTGCTCAACTCAGGGTGGCGAGTTCAATCCTTGCAGAGGCCATTTAGGGATTGGGGAGGGGGGATTGGTCCTGCTGTGAAGGCAGGGAGGGGACTGGACTCAGTGACCTTCAAGGTCCCTTCCAGCTCTAGGAGACAGGCAATCGCCATTGTTAAAGATCTGCGTGTGCGAAGGCTGGACAGCGTGGCTGGTGGTAGAGATGCAGCCCTGAGGAAGTGGGTGCGGCCCGCGAAAGCTCGTCACCTCATAAGCCAGCTTGTTAGTCTAAGGGGCTGCCTAGACTCGTGGGAGAGCCAGTGGCCTGATCTGCCCCCCCTGCCGGGGAGAAGGGGCCCTTCAAAGGGGCGGGGTAAACCCCCCTGGGCTACTTCATGAACCATCCCCGGGGAGAGCGCTTCTCGGGCCCGGCCCGGCCGGGGGCGGGCGGGGAGCCCCAGGCCCCATGCCTCCCCTCACGCACGGAGAAGTCACGGGGGGAGGGGAGGGGACGCTCGGGGCCTGGCGCCCCGGTTCTGGCCCCGCTCCCGGGATGGGTGGCCGGGGCGGGCGAGCCGGCCCTGTCCCTGCGCTCTGGGGACGGGCACCGGCAGCGGCTCAAGACTCACCCGCGGTCGCTATGGAAACTCGCGCTCAAACCTCCCGCTCCGACCCCTCCCCGGAAATACATCCCGAGGCCTTTTCCCATCACACACCGCGGCGCGAGGCCCAGGGTGTATTTCCGGTATGTCCCCGAGGGGTCTTGTTCCTCAGTTACCGTACGACAATATGGCGGCGCCTACGTTATTTTTCCTCCCCCAGAATGCCGTGCGGGGCTGAGTTCGGAGTGGGAAATGGCAGGGAGAACGCCCTTTTCCCGGCATGCTCTGCGTAACGGCCCTCTCGATTCCGTACACTAAGATGGCGGCGCCCACGCTATTTTCCCCAGCATGCGTATAGGATGTGCCCGGCCTGCTACGTACGACAATATGGCGGCGCCTACGTTATTTTTCCTCCCCCAGAATGCCGTGCGGGGCTGAGTTCGGAGTGGGAAATGGCAGGGAGAACGCCCTTTTCCCGGCATGCTCTGCGTAACGGCCCTCTCGATTCCGTACACTAAGATGGCGGCGCCCACGCTATTTTCCCCAGCATGCGTATAGGATGTGCCCGGCCTGCTAGGGTACACCCTTTTCCCGGCAGGCGTCGCGCCTTTCTCCCTCCCAGAGCAGGGTTCCGTACGCGAAGATGGCGGCGCCCGGGAGCGGCCCCGCGGGGCGGCTGGTGCAGTACGTGGTGCTGCGGGGGGACCTGCAGCGCGA